TATTCTATTCTATTCTATTCTATTCTATTCTATTCTATTCTATTCTACTCTACTCCTTAGTTTGTTCTGTTCTGTTCTATTCTGTTCTATTCTGTTCTATTCTATTCTATTCTATTCTATTCTATTCTATCCTACCTCTATTCTATCCTACCTCTATTCTATTCTAGCCTATTCTATATTCTATTCTACTCTAGCCTATTCTATATTCTATTCTAGCCTATTCTATATTCTATTCTATTCTATTCTATCCTATTCTATTCTCCTTTCATCTTCCCTCCTTCTCTTCTGTTCTCTTCTACTCTACCTGGGATTGAACTCACAGCCTTCTGATTGTGAGGCGAGAGCTCCACTTCTAGGCTACTGCACCACTCCATGTTCAAAGCTACTTATCCCGTTTCAGGGGTACCACTGGACGGTGCTCCTGGCAAGGGAAGCAGAGCTGCCCACTGAGCAGGGCAGAGTGTCCAGAGCCAAGGGAACTGGGGCCTCTGTCTGCCTTCAATCCTGTCTCTAAGGCTTGCTGAGACATTGAAGGGGCCCGATTCCAAAGAAAGCAAGCCAGGGGCCAGGAATACACCGAGGCCAGACAGCTCTGTTCCCTCTTGAGAAAAACAGGGGTGGGGGGTACTCCGTTGCCCCTTCCAAAAAAGCAGCATGACAAAGGTACGTTGGAGGGGGCGGGCGGGGGCTGACCTCGCTCCTTGGGAACTTGCTTGCTATTGACCCCAGGGATCCTAATTGGGGAGGGGGCTATTTATGGCCCGGGGACCTATCAAAGGAACCATCCCAGACCTTTCTAAAAGAGGTAGCTAAAGCTAGAGCCCTGGAGAACCCAGTGGGCGGCTCTTGGCTGGCAATTCTCCGGAGACAAGCCACCGAATTCCGCAAGAGGCGAGGATGAGGCAAGCGGAAGGAAGGCCTGGCCCAAAATAGCCCCCCCTTTGCCTGCTGGGATGCTCGGAAAACTACCCAAACAGCAGGGGGGCACGAGGGCCCTACCAATGATCCAGGGGAAAATGGGGGAGGATGCTGAGGGCACTTCAAGGCCCACCAGAAAGGCCGGCTACTGGTTCCCTTTCCTAGCAGTTCTGAGGTGTTTCCTGGAACGGGCTGAATTTCCAGGAGCCTCTTAAGAAACGTCTTGCTTTCTTTTTTTCCCAGAAGTCTGCCAGTCCTGGGAATTCAGCTCCCACGGTCCTTTAATCACGTCAGCTCCGGAAACCTATAATTGCTGCTCTCGCTAAGCAGTTTATAGGGCTTTTCTCTTTCAAAAAGGGGAAGTGTGAGAAAGGCCCAATTTAGCTCTAAGAAAGTTTTGCCAGGAGTTTGGGAATTTGAGGAGGGGAAACAATAAAAACGGCACGGCTGCAAATAAAGGCATTTAAAAAAAAATCTTTTGGACTCAAAAAACTTTCTAACTAAGGCGCGAGAGAATGGTAGAATCTCCTTACTCTGAAGATGATCTTTAAAAAACAAACAAACTAGGCTTCAGGGGTTGGGCCTCCCTTCCTAAAGAGACGGATGTTGTCCCCAGTCTCAAACCTCAAAATAGGTTTAATATTTAATTATCCATGTATTAACTGCAGCTAGAACTGTATTGGCACAAAATTGGAAAAGTGAAGAGATTCCTACTGACGAGAATGGGATTAGGAAAATATTAGAATGTGCAGAAATGAATAGATTAATGCTAGCAATTAAGAAGAACAAACCGGATATTATATGACATGGGAATTATTTTATCAATGGCTAGAGGAGAAAAATTTAATCAGAAGGGGCCTTGTAGGTCATCTAGTCCAACCCCCTGCCCAAGCGGGAACCCCTACACCATTTCTGACAAATGGCAGTCCAGTCTCTTCTTGAAAGTCTCAAGTGCTGACCCTCCTTCTGTATCCCCCAAAAAGTCTTCCTGCAGGAAACCCCTTCTTTGAAGGCAGTCAGAAATGCTGTTGCCTTGCGAGAATGCAGAGATTAGTGAAACATAGAAAGTATGATTAGGACAGAGATGTAAATAACATGATGACTGTTATTGAAATGATTATTAATACTCTCACTATATTCTTACCGAAAGATATGTTAAAAGGGAAAAATGAATAGGTTTATTATATACAAAATCACAATTATAAGATTAGAAAATCAATATTAATGTAATGCGTACTGTTGTAAATTCTTATTACACAGAGATATTTGTAGCCAGGTGACACACTGTTTAATGGAAGATGGAATGTTTACATTTAAAAAAATCATAGTGTGTGTGTGTGTGTGTGTGTGTGTGTGTGTGAGAGAGAGAGAGAGAGAGAGAGAGAGAGAGAGAGAGAAAGAGAGGGAGAGAGAGAGAGAGACCGAGCACCTAGCCAAAATGTATTTTGTATCGACACGCTTGAGATTTGAATGGGGAGGGAGGCTTTTGTTTACGACAAAGGGATTGTCCTCCTGGTGTGAACCAGAGGATTGTGAGAACCTGCTCATTTCCCACACTCTTTTCTGGCTGGTGGCTCTAACTAGCAGAGACATGTCTGATCAGCTTGATCACATACCTGTCCCAGGGAACGCCCAGGGAGCCCTTGGCCTGGAGGAGAGGGTGAGAAACAGGCAGGCAGGGCCGCCAGAGAGCTTCCCGCCCCTCCCCTCCTGGAGGCGAAGCGGGAGCTGCCACCGCTTCTCACCAGAGTCATCCCTCTGGAATTGGCCGATTGGAGCCGCCTGAGGGACTTGGATGCCCTCAAGGCGGCCCCCCGCAGAGGATTCGGTGTCCCTTCCCACCTGGCTTTCCTTTGCAAGGGGAAACCTCTTTTCCCCTTGGCTCCCCAATAATACGGTCTCCGCTCCCGATAGCTAGAGAGCTGTGAAGGAGAACAGGGTATTGGGGACACCCAACACAAAGGCAGAGTGTCAGGAGCCCTTTCCCCAACTCCTTTTCTGTTGGCAACTCTAAAAAGACCATAGAAATATTTTGTCCTGCCCCTGGTGGAGTCTGACTCTGAGGAAGAGGAGGAACAGCCAACAGGGAGTGGAAGTGTGGCTCCAGAGGTTGTGGAGGCGGCTGGGGAAGGGCAGGGGCCGGCTGGGCAGACAGAGGAGGACCTAGGCCCATCCCCTATCCATCCTAGGGCACGTAGGGAGGAGAGGATAAGGGAGAGACGTGGTCTATGGGGGAGGAGAGGGCCTTGATCCCCTTCAGTGGGCTGCAGCTGTGACACTGAACAAGAGGACGGAACTGCATATGGGCGAACGCTGGAAACGAAGCATGTAAATATCTCTAATTTATAGTTCCTCTCTGAGTTTGGCGTCCTTCCCAGTGTGTGTTGTCTGTGGACATCCTCCAGCCCTTATCTTGCCTGGTTTGTGTTGTTTTTTTCCCTTTTTCGTGTAACTGTTTGTGTGGGAGTTTTTTTGGTCTTCCGTCAAAGGTATTCAGAGCTTGGAAGCAAAGTGAAGGAATAAAAGGGGCTTCCCCTGTTTTCTGTGACTGTGTTTGTTTTGTATCCCACCCTGGGTCATCACAGATTTCATGAGTTGACACAGAATGGAGGAAATCAAACAGGGGCTGCAGCCCCTGAGTCAGGCCTGCCTCCACCTGGCTGCAGGTGTCCAAGTTTCTCCCAGCATGAAGGAAGCCAGTAGGTCCCCTCCCCACTGCTGCTCCGCGGTGGGCACTGGGCTCCCAGCAGCTCCTTTCCCTAGAAGCCCTCCTGGGGCAGCTGCCGCAACTACCCAAGACATGCCCCTCACCTGAGGCCAAGGGCCGGATCCATTCCTTGCTGTTCAGGTCAAGTCTCCAGAGGTCGTTAAAAGCTGCGTTGCAACTGCTCTGGGTGCAGCCCCCAAAGACGTACATGGACTGGTTGGCATCGTAGTAACAAGCACCTAGAAAGTAGCAGAGCAAAAACAGGCCAGCTTTAGAGCTTCTTGCCCACCACAACACTCCCCCGTCTCCCAGGAAAGCCACAATTTCCCTCTCCCACAAGGTGCACTCTACCCCACGGATCCTTTTTGTGTATTATTTAGTGACCCCACTTCCTGTCCTGAATACCATCCATCCACCCCCATCCTGAAGGATCAGTGGGATTATGAGTGGTCAGAAGGCAGTATTGCAGGCTAATTCTGCAGTCGGCAGTTCGATCCTAATTGGCTTAAGGTTGAGTCAGCCTTCCGTCCTTCCAGGGTTGGTAAAATGAGGACCCAGATTGTTTGGGGACAAGAGGCTGACTCTGTCAACTGCTTAGAGAGGGCTGTGAAGCAGTGTGAAGCGGTATGTAAGTCTAAGTGCTATTACTATCTAAGCCGCGGTAGTGCAGGGATTAGAATGAAATCTAGCAGGCTAACTCTGCCCACTGCCAGCAGTTCGATTCTCACCGGCTGAAGGTTGACTCAGCCTTCCATCCTTGTGACGTCGGTAAAACGAGGACCCAGATTGTTGGGGGCAAGAGGCTGACTCTGTCAACCGCTTAGGGAGGGCTGTAAAGCGCTGTGAAGCGGCAGAGGTGTCTAAGGACTATTGCTGTTGCTATTGTTTAATCTCCTTTGAAATGGAGGAGTCCAGACAGATTTTATGGTTGTCCCTAACTGACCCCGATCGCCTGGTTTGAAAAAAAAAACGTGCTATTTTACATAGCTACCCAATCTTGGCCTTCCGCTCACCAGAACTCGCCTGGAGGAAATGGGAGAAGTCTAAACACTTGGAAATAAAAAAAGGCCACCTTCCTTCCTCTCACAGCCTTGAACTGAACCTTCCTCTTTTTTTCCCCCCTACGACCAGTATTCAAGCAAGCGAGAGATCTGACTCCGTAGAGGCAGCTCCAGAAGCGGCTTCTCCTAGAAACCTTCCGCTTCCCGGCTAAGCGAGGGGCCTCTCCTCTCCTCGGATGCTGCAGCCTCCCCGCAGTCTGTGCCCCCATACCATCCAGCTTCTCCGGGAAAGGGGCGAGCGTGGCCTTCCCCACGGGGCATCTTGGGGCCAGCGAGTACTCACTGTGCGAGAAGCGCTGAGTGATGGGAGTCCCGGGATAGGGGTAGGTGCGGCTCTCCCACTGAATGTTCCCTTCCTGGACGGACCTGATGAAGCCGTGGTAACACTGGTGGGCGACACCTGGAAGGAGGAGGAGCGAGAGAGTTGGGACTGGGGACGGATCTCGGGGCAGACAAAAGGAAGAAAGGCTGAGATTTACGGGGTCTCCGCTTCTTTTGAGAGGGAGGCAGCGTAACACAGGAAGCCAACACACACACTCTGTGTTCTCATGCCCGGAGACTCGTCGTAGAAGCCGGCACCTCACAGGAAGTCCTCAAGCTCAGAGAAAAGCCCAAGAGTTGCGGAGTCTCGCTTGTTACCAATCATCCGCCTCATCGTCCTCTTTTAACAATCCCATAATCCCTCGCAGGGTGGAATCTGGGCAATGGAGGAGGAGGAGGAGGAGGAGGAGGAGGAGGAGGAGGAAGAAGGAGAAGGAGAAGAAGGAGGAGAAGGAGAAGGAGAAGGAGAAGGAGAAGAAGAAGAAGAAGAAGAAGAAGAAGAAGAAGAAGAAGAAGAAGAAGAAGAAGAAGAAGAAATAATAATAACACCCTTTCCTGTACCTTTGATGAGTCGATACCACTGCTTGCAAACCAGGGCGGCCGTTTTGTGCTCCTGATACGGGGAGAGGAAGGACAAGATATACTCCAGCACCTCTTCCGGCAACTCCTGCATGGATCGGTGAGGCCGAGCCCCTTCCTCCTCTTCTTCTTCCTCCTCTGGCCGAGCAGCAGCACACACTCCCTCCTCCTGGTCCATGGTCCCTTCCGCCACGGTGTCCTCGGAATCCACAGCCATGAAGCTGTCGTCGTCGCTCTCTGAGTTAGCCATGGCATTCCAGTCTCCTGCTTCCCAAAAAAAAGTGGGGGGGAGGGAAAAGGCTATGGGTTACTGGCCGGAGGGCGGGGGGATACCTTATCTTAGAGGCCCATATCAAGATGTTGAGCTGGGCAACTCAGGAACCCCTAGAAAATGGGCTTAGGCTGGTGCAAATATTTGCACAATTCCTGGAAAAAATAAAGATATAAAGCAGGGGTCCCCAAACTTGGCAACTTTAAGACTTGTGGGTTTCAACTCCCCGAATTCTCCAGGAGCCAGCTAGAATTCTGGGAGTTGAAGTCCGCAAGTCTTAAAGTTGCCAAGTTTGGAGACCTCTGATATAAAGAGATAGTCAAGAAAATACTAGATGGTGCAGGAAATGGATAGATTGGACATTAAAAATTAGACAGAAAGAAGATGTGGGCTATTATCAAATGTGGAATAGTTGGGGGAAAAGGGAGGTGGAGATTAAGAATGCAAGTTTGTCTTGTTGAGCACATTAAATACCCAAGCCAACACTATGTTTATTCAGCACTAAGAAATGTATTTACCATATTTTCCGGACTATAAGCCACTACTTTTTTCCCACGCTTTGAACCCTGCGGCTTGTACAACAATGCAGCTTATCTATAGATTTTTCTTCGCTAACTGCCATCAGGGCGGGTGCAAAAACGTGACAGACGCAAGAGGTCAGTGCAAAGACGACGATGCTACCGGTAGTTTTTGGCGCGCTCGACGCAAGCAGCACGAACACGCACGAACACAAAATATTTGTCACACCCTCATCATGGAAAGTACACAAAGAAAAGCGTATGAGGCAGCTTTTAAGTTGAAAGCAATCGATCTGTCTATCCAGGAAGGAAATAGAGCCGCTGCACGTAAGCTTGGCGTTAACGAATCAATGGTGAGACGTTGGAGAAGTCTGGCCGCATGCGAAGAGCATTCTTCTCTTTCTGCGTAAATATCTCGTTTCACAACGCATATATCTGCGGCTTATAGTCTGGTGCAGCTAATATATGTAAAGATATTTTTTTCTTTTAAAATTTAGTGGGTGCGGCTTATATTCCGATGCGCTCTATAGTCCAGAAAAGACGGTACTAGAAAATCAATAAAAAGGAGAGAGAGAGAGAAAAGAAAATGGGCTCATGAGGCAGTCATATTGGTTTTGTGCAGACTCCGGTGTGCACATCTGTCACCTCTTCTGCAGGAGCTGCATTGGTGGCCGATTTGCTTCCGGGTGCAATTCAAGGTGCTGGTTGTCCCCTTTAAAGCCCTTCATGGCTTGGGATCAGGTGATCTAAGGCAGGGGTGTCCAACCTTGGCAACTTTAAGCTTCGCTGGCTGGGGAATTCTGGGAGTTGAAGTCCTCCAGGCTTAAAGTTGCCAAGGTTGGACA